GTGGGGGGTGGGCTTCGGGTTAAATTCTACCTTTCCTGTTGCTCTTAAAAAATGTAACTCCCCTAGTGTTTATTTTGCAATACTTATATTTCTTGTTGTTAACACCATTATATAAGCCTCAAAATAAACAAAAATGTCAAAAAAATGAGACAGAAAACACAAAAAAATTGCCTTCATTTCCTCCCTGGAAGACTAGAAGAGAAAACTAAAATGAGCTTATTCTCATAACTGTAACTTACTAACTGTAATTCTAGACTTTCCATTATCGATGGGCTGGCTGAGTTTTTATTTTATTTTATTATTTAAATTTGGAAAAGCTTGTTTCTATGTGTGTTAACACCCTATGCTGCAATTGAAATTTCTCATCCTTTTGGTTAGTCACTGACATTTTTTGATGGCACAAGCAGCCTAATGTGTTATCACTTGATCTTTATAGATGTCATATTTAAGTTATTTACAGTTATCTTTATCATGCATCATGTAAGCAGACCCAAGTCTTCGAAGGATGGCTGAGAGACACAAGGGTAAGCATGACCTTTTTGATTTCATTTTTTTTTTTTTTTGTCTTCTTCCAATTAAAGCTGTCAAAACTTTTATATTGGTGTTTACTTCTATTTATTCATTTTTTTTCTTTTCATTTAGAAAATATTTGGGTAAATTATAAATTCATTCCTTGTGGTTATGGAAAATACATCCTGCGCTCCTAGGTTTCAAATCACATTACAATTTTCTTTTTTGTAAGACAACTGTTAAGTCAACTAACAAAATTGGATGATTTCAACAATTTTTTTCAAATATCTATTTTACCCATAGCTCCTATCCTAGGAAGCACGGATACAGATACGGGATACGGATACGATACGATACGGATACGGCGATACGACAAAATTTGAAAAACTGGGATCACTACAGGAAATATATGATTTAACGGCGTTTATTTAACGGCGTTTTTTTAAACACCACTATTTTTAATATTTAACGACGTTTTATAAACGTCACATTTTGTTTTTATTAAAATGGTACCGTTTAAGTAATGAAGTCGTTTGAAAAGCGCCTTCAAATGTGTTACAGTGTTTCTCTCTCTCTCTCTCTCTCTCTACGTCACATTTTGTTTTTATTAAAACGGTACCGTTTAAGTAATCCAAGTCGTTGCCTTCAAATGTGTTACAATGTTTCTCTCTCTCTCTTCAAACCCTCAAATCTCTCACAACTTATTTGAATCTGAGAAAAACCCTAGAGTCTCAAAGAAACCGATCCCTCAAATCTCTCTCACTCTCTCTCTCTCTAAACCCTTCAGTTCCTTCAACTTGATTCAACCTTCTTCAGCTCGGTAATCCATCATTCGGTCGATCCAATCTCAGAATGATTTCGATTTCAAAGCTCCACTGCCACCGTCATCACCATTTGCATTTGCATCTGCATCGTCTACTAACCATATGCACGATTTCGATTTCGATTTCAATCCGATCTCAGTTTCGTCGATTCTTCTCTCTCTCAATCTCTGTCTCGATCTCTGTCTGTCTCCTTCTCTCTCGATCCCTCAATCTCTCTGGATCTCTGTCTCTCTCACACAATCTCATTCTTTACGTACACATGATCTGTACTCTTTTTTGGATAATTTTTTTCTCCTAAAAATCTCTCTATACAAGTATATATATGAATTTATATATGTATCTCTATGTATTGATTGAATAATCATCTTTATTTTGTTTTCAGGCTCTCGAATGATCCAATCATTTATCGGCAGTGACGGAAAAAATCAACTCCTGTGAGAAAAGAAACCCTAACTTTCTCATTGGAGGTAAGTTCGAATATATTTGTTTACATGTTTGTTCTGGTTTTGATCTTGTTTAGATCTGTATTGAACAACTCTGTGTTAGCTTTTTGTTCATTGTTTGGGAATTGATAGTTTGAATGCCATGTTTATTGATAAATGTGTTCATTGAAAATACAGTTAATTTGAGGTCATTTTATTATTATTATTATTATTATTATTACTATTATTATTATTATTATTATTATTACTATTATTATTATTATTATTATTATTACTATTATTATTATTATTATTATTATTACTATTATTATTATTATTATTATTATTACTATTATTATTATTATTATTATTATTACTATTATTATTATTATTATTATTATTACTATTATTATTATTATTATTATTATTACTATTATTATTATTATTATTATTATTATTATTTTGCTTCACTCTTTAATTATCTCTCATCCCTGTTAATTTGAAATTTATACACCCTATTTTCATCTCATGTGCATACCCCTTTAAATTTGCTTCTGTTTCTATTGTTGAGTTTCAATTGCATTGATAGAATATTTGTCATTTCCACTTGCATGATATCCAATTGTTGTAAGGCTCTTCCTGGCTCACATTACTCTTTAACCTTTCTTTTTGCAAATGATTTTGCAAACTTAGTATTGCTGCTAGATTTCTTGTGCTAGTAATACATGTAAGAAGTTATAATTTTTTTGGTGCAGCTCTCTATGCCTTTTTTGGCATGCACTTACTTTATATTGCATAGAGATTAGACTCAAAAGCATCTCAGAAAAAAGAAATAGAGGAAGGATGTTTTTCTTACTCAATATAGTATATATTGATGAGAATCTAATTGAATTCAGTTTCTCTTACTTTTTTGGAGCTATATTCTTTTGTCTGTAATGCTTCTAAATATGAGGATACATTCACCATTACGTCAATTTCTATGTATCAAAATATGTTATGGTTTATTTGGATGATAAACATTAATTGGAGAACTCAGTAGTGATTAGCAGTCTGTCTATTGGTTAATTTGGGTATTGACTTAAATTTGAATTTTTTTTTTTTTCTATCACACTGATATGGTGACCTCAAAAGAATTGAAGTTATCTGTTACCTGTATTGCTGCTTCTTGCTTTTCTTTTAACTATTACCAACATTTTGTGCTTGATACCATCATCAAATTCTGATTCTATTTTCTTTATGGTCTCTAAATTTCAAACCTCAAATTTGCTAGAATGAGCCATACGTGTTCAAAATCAGTCCACTACATCTCACAAATACACATTGGACTTGTTTGATTGGGCAAACTATAGCATAAGATTGGGACTATTAATCCGTAGGACTCATTCCATTATTTGGTTGTAAATTTTATTATTTAAATTATATTCTAATGACCATTCTATCCAACAAAGTTTATGGATTTTTTAATCCTACAACTAGTAGCACAAAGAATGAAAAATGCTTGGGAGCACTAATTAGTGCTCCCACTAATTAGGTGGCAGTGGGTCCCGCCATTAATGATGTGATGTTTTGGTCTTGAAGTT